TTTTTTTTTTTTTTTTTCTTTTTGAGGCAGGGTCTTGCTATGCAGTTCAGGCTGGCCTTGAACTCACTATGTAGCCCAGGCTGGTCTTGAACTCCCAATGATCCTCCTGCCTCAGCCTCCTGAGTGCTGGGATTATAGGCCTGCGCCACTACGACCAACCTCCTTCCAGTATTTCTAACTTATGTTCATATGTATACATATTTTTTTGCTTCACAAAAAATGAAATTTTGTAACTCTCTCCTGTCTAACTCTATTCTATGTGGAGGTTGCCCCATAGAATTAACTCCTATGATTTGTAAATGTTGCACAGTACTCCATTTTTTGGGTGGTTGATTTCTTCAACAAGTTCTGTATGCTTGGACATTGAATCTCTCCCCATTTTTATTATAAATATTGCTGTGGTGAACAAATCTTGTAGAAAAAAAGTCACACTGGTCACACTAGTTTGTAGTCTTCCAACTAAGAAGTAGAGTCTAAGGAGGTGTGGTGCATGCCTGTAGAACTACTACTTTGGGAGGCTGAGAGAGGAAGACTGTAATTTTGAGCCCATCCCGAGCAACTTAGTGATTTAGTGAGATCCTAGCAAAAAAAAACTAAAACCAACACTTGAGGGTGTAGCTTACTGTGAACACCCTGAGTTCAGTTTCCAAGTAATACCAGGGGAAATGTTTTTTTGTTTTTCCACCCCTGAATCTGAGCCTTGACTAGGTGACTTGGTTTGCCTGACAAGGACGTTAGAAAATGAAAGGTTTTTATGTGCTGGGATTTATTGTCTAGAATCCTGAGACCACTACATGACGAAATCATGGAGAAATTACACAGAAACAGCTCAGACATCCAGTCGCAGCCCAAACTTTAAATGAGACCATTCTAGGTCATTCTAGGCCATCCAACACCTACTGAGCTGGCCCAGTCCTAAAGAACCATCCAGTCAGCCCACAAAACCTGAAAAATAAACGTTATTTTAATCCCCTACCTTTGGTGTGGTTATGGAGCGAAAGGTAATCGGATAATGATTGTTTCCTAGAACAGTTTTCTAGAAGCAGACTTCTGGATCAGAGGGCATAAACTTATATACCTTTTAACTCATATTGCTAACGATGTTGTATCAATACATAAACCACCAGCAGTTTGACAGTTCCCCGTATCCCCCTTCTTACTCAACACTGATGCTTCCTGTTATCATCATGACGTTGTGCTTATAAATTTAAGAGTGAGCTGTCAGTTCTGTCTCAGTTCAGAATCAAGTTAGGGAAATAAGGACAAAATAAAAAGAGCACAAATGTGAGAAAAATAGGAGAACGGAAAAACAGTGATAAAACAAAAACACAAAAGTGATAAACACAGAGGAAAGAAAATTCATAGAGTCATACAATAGGGTCTCTTCTAAGCCTCTTATACGTAGGTACTTAACATGTACTCAGGAATAGTTGTGGGCCTAAGAAATGATTTTGGTCATGAAAGAGGCATGAGAGAGATTGGGCATGGTGGTGCATACCCATAATCCCAACACTTGGGAGGCTGAGGCAGGAGGATCATCATGAGTTCGAGGCCAACCTGGGCTACATAGTGAGTTTAAAGCCAGCCTGAACTACATAGAGAGACCCTGTCTCAACAAACAAAACAGAACAAAATAAAACAAACAAACACAACACTCAAAAGCAAAACAAAACAGAATGAAAGGAAGAAAAAGAAAGATAGGTAGAAAGAAAGAAAAAAGAAAGACAGACAGAAAGAAAGAAAGAAAGAAAGAAAAGAAGGGAAAGAAAGAGGCATGGAAAGAAAATGTTCATTTAGGTCAAACCTGGTAAAATCTGACAAAAGTCTAAACAGTGTTTTAGCATCAGGGTTGTTACAAAACTGTAAACATTTAATTATTGGAGAGATAATTCTTCCCATTTTAAAGGTGAGGAAGATTGAGTCAGAGCTTTCAAAGAACTTGATAAAGATATCAGCTGGTAGACAGTCAAGCCCAGAATTGAGTTCAAGATTGCCTGGTTTAAAAACTAAGGTGTTTCTTTCACCTACTCTTCCTAGAGGAGATGTGGGAAGACTAGCGACTAGTGCTGGGAGGAAGAACAGATCCTTTCATTCATATTGCTAAACTGCTTTACAAAAAGGAGTCAGACGCCTCCTGGGTTTGAACCCAGCTCTGCCACTTCTCAGCTGTGTGGCTCTTATCCTCTCTCTGCCTCAGTTTCCTCATCTGTAGAATGGCTTCATAAGTATCATGAGGGAAAATGAGTGTACAGATGTTAAGAGCCTGGAGCAGTGTCTGGCACAGAGTAGGGCTTCCTAAGCTTGCTATTTCCCACATGGTGTTTCGCAGCCATAGGACTAATCCTGATGATCTAGTTGCCAGGAGGTTCTTAAGCAGCAAGCAACTGTGGTTATATTCTGTCTTTGTCACTTTCTTTGTCGCTGACACACAATACTCAACATCCATAACTTAAAGAGGAAAGGTTTATTTTGGCCCACAGTTCACAGAGGTTTCGGCCCGCTGTCACCGGGCTTCAGGGCAAAACAGGATGGTGAAAGGGGCTAGGAGGAAAGGTGCTCACCTCTGTGGCATCCAGGAAGCAGAGCAGGAAGGGAGGAGCCCAGAAGGGAGACACACCCCTCCAGGCCACACCCCCAGTGACCCGCCCCTTCCCACCAGGCCCCACCTCCTGATCACACATTCAGCTTAACCAGTGTCACCTCACTATCCAACCACCTCCCAAGAGCCCTGCCTGAGACCATGAGGCTCTTGGGGGACACCTAGATATAAACCATAACACATTCACAAGGCCACATCAGGGTGGAACTTCCCCTGGGAGGTGACTGTCCCTACTGCCTGTTTCTTTCATCCGCTTTTGTGGGGGAAGGGAGGTGCATGTTGTGACACTTCACGGCCATCAGTGTGAGCACGAACAACTCAGAGGGTTGTCCCAAGTAGACTCCCTGAGGCCTTGCTCCTTCAGACCCTAGTGTAGCTAGATGTGAAAGCCCTTTGCTCAGGGAACCCCTAACTAACCTAGCCACCATCTGCGTCCCCTGCCACCTGGGAAGTAGAACAGGTCTTACAGTTCCTCTAGTCTTACAGTTCCTGTGTCTTGCGATAGGATTTGAACTATAATAATTAAAATAAAACAGTGATAACACACCAAGTGCCCTTTATGGGCCTGAAGGAAGAACAGGCTCTTTTTTAATTATACTACTAGACTGCTTTACAAAAAGGAACCTGCTCCGCTGCTCACCAGCTGTGTGGTAAGCTGGGGTCCTAAACACTTTGCAGACACTGTTTCCTTTAGTTCTCAGAACTACCCTTTGAAGTGGATACTGTTCTTATTTCCATGTAACAGGTGAGGAAATGGAGTCCAGTCCAGCATCTTTCATCCTGACTGTGACACTGATCTGTCTTCTGTTTGAGAGTATGCAGTTTTGGGGTGGAAGAAGGCCCAAGAAAGCAATCCAGCACTTGTCAGCCGGATCCATTCATCCTCACTGTTTCTCAGCCACAGCAATATTCCGTGCTAGAACCACTTGCAGCACGGTGTCTGGGAACCGGGCGGGAGTGAAGACATGCATTATGTATTTGCTACCACTTCAAGCCTCCTTAGGTCGGATCCACCACGTGTGGGAGAGAAGGATGAGGCCATCTCTTCTTCCCTGGTTGTAAAACACACCAGTCTGTCTTCTGCACAGCAGACTGTGACAACACCAGGCCTGATTAAGGAATGACAATATGGAAGGCAGATGGCAGATGCACGGATGCCACACTATCACGCTTCAGTTAAACATTGCTTGGTGGTGGTGTTTTTTTTTTTTTTTTCCTTTCCTTCCTTGTAAACCTCCCAAATAAATTCATTTGCTTTCCCCAAGTTAGAAGTGTTAGCACGTCTTTTCTTTAAATATCTGTGCATGGCTGTTTTTTTCCCTGCCGATTTGTCACCATCTGTAACCCTCCCTCTACGAGATGATCTGCTGACGGCAATTATCTTGGAGAGTGAAAGTGTGGTCTTGGAGCAACACCTAGAGTGGAGTCGGTGTAGGCTGTGTGTGTAGTGTATGCTGCCCCTGCTCTTGGCATGTGTGTGTGTGTGTGTGTGTGTGTGTGTGTGTGTACCCAGGGGGAGTGTGGATGTGCTGCGTGCACACGTTGTGAGACTGCAGGGTGCATGCATTCAGTGTCCGTGTGTGCACGGACTGTGCGCTGGGCCCCCTGCTTGCCTCTGTGCCCGGGGTCTGTGTGTCCCATGTAGGCCTCCTGTGGATTCCTGTTGGGGGGCTTTTGTGCTCTAGGTGCCCCCTGAAGAAGGGCCGTGCCAACTCCTGAAAGAAGATGTCCCTCTGATGTGTTTAAAGCGACTGAGGAGGGCCTGCAATTTGGAGAACTGGGCCACGAGGTACTAAGAGCCGGAGTCCCGGGAAGGTGCGCCTCTGAGATGGAGGGGTCCCCGCAGGGCTGCAGTGGGCTCCAGCGGCTGGCGGCCCGCGCGCTCCGCCCTCCCGGCGCTCCCCACCCCCGGGCGCCGCGCCG